AGGAGTTGGTTAGGATGGTCTGAAGTATAATGTGATCAGTCTCTTCGATACTCCGCCCCCCCCCCTCCACCTTGCATCAACCAACTCTTTTTTTCAACCGTCCCCTACTCATCACTGATTTGCGAAATGTTTGTCCTCTTCATGCAACCACTATATCCCCAATCATATATATATGTATATGTATATATCTGCACACAGACACTTCGAAGATTCGAGCAACAGGGAAAAAAATGTTTATTATTCTGAATCATCAATACATTTTGAACTTCTTAATTTGCTATTACCTGCGTTTGACTGCTTTTACATCTTCACTAGCAAATCGTTGCCTTAAGACGTGTCTTTTTGTTCGTTCATGGGTTACCTTTCTTCGCTCTGGGGCGCGCGGCCTTTCTGTCGCCAAGATACGGGGCTTGTGATTGACTTACTCTTTCTGGAATGGTCGCATGCATTTTACATTCAGAGCACACTTGGCGGTAACAGTTGCGTTTCGGGCGCACTAAAGCACGCGGAAACCTATTCCTTCTGTACTGCGAGACCTGTAGTAATAATGAGTGGGGCATATCGGGAGAAATTTAAAAAAATAATTATAAAGTAGAGCTTATAAAAGTAGAAAAAAATAAGAATATAGGAAGAAGAAAGAGCGTTCATCGGGAGATATTTATTGTAAGGCTGACGTTTCGGGTAGTTTTTTCGTCTACCGAATCGCATTTTCACCACAATAATAGGGATAATTGTTTAAATGACTTAATGTTTGCGCGCTATTATTAAAAAGGGGAATACAACCAATACGAAACAAGAACTGCGCAATAGTACCCGCGAATTAGATACAATCGTATATCGAATAGTACCCGCGAAGTGGATACAATCGTCTGCTGACCCTCCATCGAGTGGTACCCGCGAAGGGGATTAACTCGTACATCGACTCTATATCGAATTTTAGACATTAAAATAAAGCCATGAAAGATAGGCTTATTTTCCCCATTTTTTAGACTCTTAATAGCTTCTAAACCAAGAAGCAACCGCATGTCTCCAAAAAGTTAAAAATAAAATAAACTTAAGTAAACAAAAATTAAACTCAAGCCACGGCATGAATTACTAGGACTTCTGCGGGGGGAGGGGTTATTGCCATATATGGATGGGCGCCGTCACACATGGGAAACAGCCAATGCCAAAGTAGTAAAAAAGGCATGCCTACTGCTACGACATAAGTAGGCAGTATGCGAAACATAATCTGTAATGAGCCAGAAACGTAACTGTCACCCATTTTGACTGCGAGCCTGGAATCGGTGTGGTTTGCCACGGATCTCTGTGTAATACATGACCCCTCGCAGTTGCTGTGTCGCCTATCGCCGCTGTCGCATTTGTTGCCCTTTTCATGTTCATCGCTTGGGATGGTTTGATAGAGTGGTGGTCTTTTGTAGACCTACGATTCGAATACGGATGTTTCCATCCCTCCACACCATCAGGACCGTGTCAGACACGACCCACAAAGCTCGCATCGTGTAAAGTGGCTATGACTTGTGACCTTTTTTCCTATGTCATCTCGAAGTCAATGTTCGGTCAAGTCTGAGGGACTTACTGTTCATTAACCAGGTGTGGGTAGCTGTTCCTGCACTCCTAATCATTGTATTGGCCACTTGCAAACCCACGAGGCAGCCCACGGCTAGACTGACCAACGGGCTCCTCTCCATAACACCCCCACCAACCCCATTCATGATGAATAGCTAACAAAGTTGGATTAAACATAAGATGATAAATCGACCAATCCAGTAAGTCGTTCAATTTTCGCAGTGGAAAATGGTTGGTCAAACACTGGATTCATCTGTTTATTTGCCTAAGCTTTCGAAGCCTTTCAAGATTTAATCATCCTAGATTAATGCAGGGAGCACTAGCTGCCGATCGACGATCAGTCACATTAGCATAGAAGTAGCTCCTCAGGGCTTTGTCTGTGAGCGTCAAATTGATACACTGGGCAGGCTTTAATCAGTTCTCGGTCTGTCCTGTTTCCGGTGGGTGTTATAACGACGAGTTCTGCGTCGCCAGTGTTGTAACGATAGCATCTGACGTGTGTCACCATCGAATTACGCCCTGTAGAAATCCCCAAGAAAGAACCCAATATGAAGGGCATGATTCTGGAATCCACCCTGGAGGAGGGTTTATTGTGTACAAAACCCGGAGGAGCTGTCTCGGTTGGCTGTGGCCGCTAGTTGATCTCCAGCGCGCTCTTTGTCCCGCCTAGGGGCAAGCCCGGCATTGGGAGCGGACTGGCGTCCGCTATTCGGTGTGACCGAAACTCTCCCTGGCAGGGGTGACAGTGGCTTATAAGAGATTGTCTGCGCGTTTTCTTGTGGCCTGGTTGGTCGCATTGAGATAACGTCACGCGACCAGTTGTGCCTTGCGTAGACTCGTGTGCGTGCGGTTTAAGGTCATCTGGCGTGGACAGTCATCGCCTGTTATGCGGTCAGGGCTAACCAACAAAGACATTTGGCTAGGCTCGACGCCTTAAGAAAGCCTCCAAACGTTGCTAGCATTTGGTCCGGCTAATATCCTAACAAAAATTATGTCCTGTACACTATTTGTGGCCGATTTGGATGTTGTGGTGGGCCCATAAAACCTCCAAAGTCTTGTGAAAAAATCCGCCGGATGATCTTCTTACTCTACCATTTTGACAATGACTTAACTCCAAT